CTTTGCAGATGTGATTAGGTTAAAAATTAAGTCATAAAATAGGGAGATTATCCTGTTGGGCCCAATCTAATCATAAGGGCCCTCATAAGAGGGAGATAGGATGATCTGAGTAAGAAGCAGGTGGTGCGTCCATAGAATTAAGAGATTGGAGTGATGCAGCCATGAGCCAAGGGATGTCAGCAGCTTCTGGAAGCTGGAAGAGACAAGGAATGGATTCTCCCTGGAGCCTTCAGAAGGAACCGTCTCTGCTGACACCTTGATTTCAGCCCTGTAAGATTCATTTCAAACTTTTGACCTCCAGAACTGTAAGATAATAAGTTCGGGTTGTTTTGAGCCACTAAGTTTGTGCTAATTTGTTACAGGGGAAATAGGACACTGATACAGCCCATAAAATTAAAATGGCTGACAACAAAGGTGGTCTGGCTGCTTGTGAGAGAAGCTGATCTGCCCTTACTCCCTTTGGCCTGTCTGAATTGGCCTCAAGTCCCAGTGAACTTATGTTTCAAATGCAGACTCTGGCCTACTTTTCACAGTTTAAATATAAGGCCCATCTAATACCAGCTGCCTTGTTAGACCAATGTAGGGGCCTCATATCTGCATCTTCCATGTTTGCTGGTTGATGTAATATGATGGTCTACCGTCGCTAGATGCATACACACACTGAGCAAACACACCTCTACTGCTCACTTTCTTAATGTAGATCCAATTCACTGCCAGAAATATTTAGTGTATATCTGACTGGGGTACACCGTTTACAAGCTTAGATGTTGATCTTGCTGAGCGCAGAGTGGCTGAGGCTCTTTCTGTTTAGTTCCATCGAAATCCCATAAACTAAACCCACAGGACTCAGGCACCATTCAAGGTGCCAGGCCCTATTGTGTGTTTTCTGAATTTGTACAGTCCCAAATAATCTAGGGTGCTTTGGGGACCTCTAAGGTGGTCCCAGTACAACAGAGTGTCTAAAAAAACCACAATTTTGACTCCCAAAGCTTGAAGAGTAATGAAGATATTTATTATACCACACTACTCCTAGCCAAATGTCCTAAAAAACCCTCCTTACTTTCTCTCTCCCTACGTTGTCAAGGCAACTTTTGAAAACCCCTTCTTTTCTCTAGCTGCGCTCCTGCACAGCCCCAAGCCAGCTCTCTGAAACTCTCTCTTCTTCTCCCTAGCCCCCTTCTCCTACTTTTCTCAGATTACTTCCCTGCCCTTTCTAAGGTGAAAGCAATTCTACCTTTCTCAGCTCCCATCACTCTTTCCCTCCACCCATTACCCAGATGGACACAACAGAGGCTGAGGAACCAAGCGGTTTCAACAAAAAATCTCCCTGGGAGTTGAGGGCAGAGGAAAGGCTGCGAATATTAGATATTAATATTTTTGATCCATGTCACAACTGAAAAGTAAGAGAGCACAGGCAAATGTGTTTGGAGGAAATCCTGGTGGAGGTGACACCTCTTAGTTTCCCTAAGGATGAAACTGTCTTGAATACTTCAGGATTTCCATTGGCAGGAAACAACAGTGTTTGGCCAGAAGATGGCACTCTTTTAAAACAAATTGGGGAGGCCCCCTAGCCCAGGGGGCTGGGAGATAGTGAATCAGCGTTGATAAAGATCTCCGAGTGCAGAGAAGGGCTGGGTAGACAGGGCAACAGTGAAAGACTAATGGGGTGCATTGTAGTTAATGGGACAAATGAGGCTTAACATTTAGCACTTACTGACGATGCTCCTTGTGGTTTTCTTTACCATTTAGGCATGCTGTCTCTGAAGTTTTACTTCCTTTCTCTGTACTATGCAGTGTCCTTACTGACGTGCCACACAGTGATGCTTATGGAGGCTTGAAGACAACCCTAACAACCTCCCCTTCAGTCTCACTTCCCCTGCGTTCATGGTATCCTGTGCTTTTCTGTAACATCGCTGACTAGAGCCACAATCATTGTGTCACTTGCTGTCAACAATAGACTATGCGTTCCATGAGGTGGGCTCTCTCTGCCTCCTTTACCGTGGAATCACAGTGTGGTGCCTACCTAGCACATAGTAGGTGCTCAATAAGTATGTATTGAATGATTGTAAGAAATTCGAGGTTGTAACTGCTCACAAAATTTAACAAGTGCTGTCCGTCTGCTTCTGTTCTAACAGGTTGATGGATAACCCCTGATACTGAGTGCTCGTGATGCTAAGCCCTTGCCTGCATCATCTCCCTTTTCCCATCACTCTATAAGGCAGCTACTCCAAGTCAGAGTGGCCATTTAGGGGCATGTAAAAGTAAAGGACACAAGGTCCGGGGGTGCCCTATTCACTTTGGTGGTATCGACCCGTTGACATTCTCATTATTGTGCTGCTCTGTGGACCTTAAAACACTACCCCCTTCTCCTCCTCTTTGTCTTGTGCCCCACCCTACCCCCCAGCATACACACACACCACTCCACTCAACCCCATTTGACTCATGGATCCCAGTGGTTCATGAAAAATATCTGAGGCCTATTAATAGGAAAACCTGGTTTGCATTGAGGTGTGACTGTAAACAAGTGTAAATAAATAATAGTTTTTTATGGATCACACATGCATTAAGGCAAGGTCTTGCTTGAAGGGCCCACGGTTCACCTTGAAAGAGCAGCAAGTTCCCTCAAGCCACCTTTTTCACATGAGGCTCCAAAGCTACCTTTGGAAACCTGGCTCCAGGCTGAGAGCACCAGCTTACACCAGCTGTCACTTTGACACCTGCCTTTGCCTTCAAACCATGCATTGAAGAATGGTTTTGGTTGGGGAAGGGAACCAAGACCTGAGCTCTGGCAGAGAAAAGAGAACTGTTATCATTACCTAGTGCCTTCTTTGTTTTCGCTCTATTGCTCCAGTGTTTCAGCCAGCTTCTTTAGGCCACGGGCTATGCCTTGCATTTGTACCCCCACCTCAGTGTGAAGCCAATAGTACAGTTTAAAAAAATTAACCCATTCAATGTCAATGTCCTGTTTACTAGGTACATCACAGTCAGCAGAGATTAAATGTTGACAGAGAAGTGGCGATTTCTATCACACTGCGAGGATGACGTTTTTCCAATAAAGTCTGGCGCTGCTCTGTCAGTCATGACATGGACACAGCAGGAGATAAACATCGCCATGTGCTAGGAGAAGGGTTATTTTTTGAGGGAGATTTTTGGTCTAAGGGTTTTTTTGTTTTTGTTTTCCCTGTCTTTTTGTTCTTCCAAACCTAGGCCTCTCTTACCCACTCTAAGCAATTTTATAAAAAATTGGTTGTCAGTCTTTGTGCTCATTTCTCAGAAAATTGAAGGCAACCAAATAGAATTTGTCATTTAAGTGATGCAAAACCAAACCTTGCATTTATTTATAGGTACTTGAGGACAATTTGGACATTTGAGCCAAGGCTTCATGTTTTTTGTTTGGTCAGTAATCATTTAAAGGAATTTGACTATAAGTGCTCTTCAGAGGGGCACATACTTCCTAGTTCCCATTACTCTTTAATGTCTCATGCCGGCTGCTGTTCATCTTTAGCTGCCCGACTCCTGAAGACATTGAATTTTGGACTCCTGTTTGTAAATGCATATTTTTTTCCCTTTGATCTTTCTGTTAGTAATCTGTAGATGGGGCTCCTTCATTGAGACAGAAGTTGACTCATTTCCAGGGTTCCTTCCAATTCTGATTTGTTTCTTCCATGTAAATAGTGCAGAAATACAACCTTCCAGAAGTTCCTTTACCTAACAGGGATAGGTTTACAGAGATAGCTTCACTCTATCTATAAAACCAAAGCTCAAGGGCATGATGTCTTTTACATGTCAAGGTGCTATGCTTTGAATGTGTTCCCCAAAGTTTATGTGTTGGAAATTTAATCCCCAGTGTAAGTGTTAGGAGGTGGGGCCTAATGAGAGGTGGGGCAGAGCCCTCATGAATGGATTAATGTTGTTTATCTCAGGAGCGGGTTAGGTATCACAAAATTGGGCTTGTTTTAAAAGTGGGTTCGGCTTTCTCTAGCATACTCTCTCGTGCCTTCCACCTCCCACCATGGGATGTTGCAGCAAGAAGGCCCTCACCAGATGTGTGCCCCTGGATCTCGGAACCTCCTAGCCTCCAGAACTGTAAGAAATAAATCTCTTCTTCATAAGTTACCCTGTCTGTGGTATTATGTTATACCAACACAAAATGGACTAAGACACAACTCTCTTTTCTGGGAGTATAGGTATCATAGTGTCCTGCCCTGAATTCCCCAGATGCTGGGCATACAGACTGGCCTCAGTTCATAGCTACAGTTCCTCACTAGAAATTGTCCTTGGGCCTGCCTTACCTAACGTAATGCCCCCTCCCAGCGGTAGGCTGATGAAGGGATACAGAGGCCAGACCTCCTTGCCTCCTGAAGGATCTTCCCAGCTCCCTGTTAGGATCTGCTGAAGCCTCAGTTGCAACTGCATTGAGGGACAACTCTCCCTCTGCTCAATCCTGCCTTCCTCACCCCCTTAGGTGTATTTTCTGGGAGCTGTCTCCAATAAATTTTCTGCCCTGACTCTGCATCTCACAGTTTGTTTCCATGGAACCCAGTTTAAGACAAAGAGTGAACCAAGATACAGAAAGACTGTGTCTTGCCCCTGCCATAACAATAGGCAAAAATATAGTGCTGGCAACAAAATGCATAAATCCCATAATGCTACCATGCAAAGAATCTGCAGAAGCCATATAATGCAATCTACCCTTTTGCAGATGGGAAGACTGAGGCAGAGAACCAAAGCAATTTGCTCAAGGTATCATAATTAGGTGAAGACTTTGTATTAAAATCCACATTTGTGGCTCAGTTAGGGAAACTACACTATTTCAGCACTTAATCAGTTCACAGGAAACCTCAATAACTCATGAGAGTCAAACTCAACTTTGAGAATTTGGAGTCAATGCCAAGTGGTTTTTTAAGCCTATCTTCCATGGACAATACTTCATTGTGACCTCCTGCTATAAAAAGGCTTTGAACCTTCTGAATAGAATCATCAGAGGAGCCGGGGCTGAATCAGGGGTGATAGTACAGTTTATTAACAAACAAAACAGTACCATACAGGCAAAATCTTACCTCATTGGCAAAACGCACACATATGCATTACCTCGCATGTAGCACTGGGGCAAACTTCAGACAAGAAACATTAGGCACCAAGTTCACAATCAAACTAAACATAGTTCACAATCTTTCAATATTTTTTCTCCAGTGGAGCATGAGACCTTAATTAAGAGCTCATTGTGACAGACCAATGACATATTTAAATGTAATTCTTAGCCAAGCTATGGAGTGAGACCCAAGTCAGCTTTCAGAACTGTGAAGTGGATGCCTTAACAGGGCCAGGCTCTTAAACTGACTTTCAGAAAAGACCTATGGTACCCTCATGTTGGATGACTTCACATATGGTGAAAGTTAGTTCCAATTTCATGTGTGGGCAAATCTGGACTGACATTCATTTTGATACCAATCTGTAGTGTAATAGAGTTGACCTAATTAGAATAGTTTTCTAAAAAGTTGCAGAAGTGGGTAAATCGCATGAGTTCTTCAACGTTCACGCCTTTAGTATGTTAACAACCTGATTACTGTTAAAGCTGTCACCAGTTAAAAAGCTTAAATAAGCATTTCCCAAAAGGTGAGACAGGACTGAGTTAATCAGTAAGTGATAAGAAGCAACTGCAACAGATTAGATTTCTCAAAGGTGTGTGGTACAATATGCGGCAACTCCTTACTTACTGGGGCACATCCAAGAAATTACCCAAACTACTCAAATTACTCAATTTCATGTCTTTTATAAAACTTAATAACTAAAGCAAGTGAGGTTATAATATAGAAATTACCAAAACTACTAAGTTAGCTAAAATGCTTTTGAATTGAATGGTAAAGAGTGGCAAAAACCATCCAGTTCTTTGCTCTCAGGATAGGTGAAACTTTGGAAGACCCAAGTCCTCACACCAGGGTCCAGCATCTTAAGTTTGGATTTATGATAAGGTTAATTTCCTTTCTGTATTTGATAGTCTCAACAAATAACAATCAGATTATCATATTAGCGTGCTAATATTTATGCAAATGTAATTATGTTGAAGATATATGTAAATTAAGAGATTTGTCTAATTTTATGATCATGGGAAAAAAGAAAAAAAATATATGCCCCTAGAGGCCTTCAGACAGCCAGGGGCCACCTGAAAAAAAGAAAATGCTGCCTTCCTGAAATTGGCATAGAATGTTATCACTGACAAGGATTGATAGATGTCTAGCCACCTTCCAGGAGGAAGAAAGATGCCCACTGTAGTTGTTCTCACACAGAGATAGTTGGGGAGGCCTCCTGGGGGATGTCTTGCTACTGTTTTACTCTGCTTATCTGGGGAACTGCACACAAGTCACAGCAAGTCAATTTAAGCATTATAACTTGGTAAAAATTCTCCTCCATAAGCAGCAGAGGAAAACATACAAATAAGCTGGCACTGAGACTAGATGTCTAGAAAACTCACAGGAATTAAGTGGAGGCAGCAGCCCACCAGATGTCCCCATCCTGGTCTGATGGCCCGCATGCCCCTACCTCCACACTGCTTTTCCTTACTGTTTCCTGATCCCAAGTGGGAGCTACTCACCCCAGGAAGCTGTGAGCCTCTGGGCTCTGTACCAACACTTTGCCACTGCCTAAGAACAGAAAAAGGACAGTCACAGGCTAGGCTTTTAATGTACTCCACCTCTAAAGACAGAAAGTCAAATGCTTTATTTCTGAAATCATCAGGTATTTTGCATTAAAGGGAGAAAAACAGGACACAGAAATTGTTTCTGATGAGCACTTCAACTTTAACTTTTTGAGATTAAGAAGGCAATCACAAGGTTTTATTCTATCAATCAACACGAATTAGTCTACACAGACAAATAAGATTGAGCTTGATCTTACTGCATTTAATTAGGTGATTTTTTGGGTTACTTTTACTTTCACACTGATTAAGACTAAATTGAGGAGTGTTAAAACCAATGCACTTAAAAACGGTCTGATGACACGGTCGTTAGTTTGTCAACATTTTTTTTTTTTTTTGATGGTGCTGGGAAAGAATAAGCAGGAAGTGTGAGCTGAAACTTCAGGACCGGGCCAGCAGCCTGAATTTGTATGCCACAATCCACAGGGCAGTTACTGATGTAGAAAACCCAATGATCTTCAGCAGGCCCGACACAGAAGGCAGGTTCCTCTCCCAGAAGGTCTGGGTGATTTCTACCGCTGGAACATCCTAGATGAATGAACACAGATCATTAGCGGAAAACTTTCACACTGACCAAGAGGAGCAAAACACTTCCATCAGTGCATGGACATCCCCTGGACCATTGCTTCTTTAATAAAATCAGAGGCTGGAAGAAGGGAGATGTGAATTCTATGTGCCGTGACTGGTCTAGGGAGATGGAGCCACCAACTCACCTTAGATTCAGGTTCTTGTACCCATATGTCTTTTTTTGCCACCTTCCCCAAAGCATTCAAGACCTGAAAGAAAGTGACCATGGTATGAAATGAGATTGTGTAGTTTCAACAGACTCAAGGTCCTGCTGTCCATAGACGAGCCCCATGAGTCAAGGGCAGAGAAGTGTACATACAGATTCTATCTGTGTCAAGAACTAGAAAGACCAGATGCCAAAAATGCTGCCGTGACTCAGGAGGGAGAGTGCCTCAGTTTCCCTCTCTTACCTCTCTAGCTGCCCGTTCTCCAGCCTGTACTGCCCCATCCATGTAGCCGCTCCATTGTGTGGCAGTCTCTGTGCCAGCAAAGTAAATCTTGCCCACCGGCTGGCGAATCACCCTTCAAGGGAACCAAGAGGTCACACAGAGTTACCTGTGAAGGCACTGAGGGTAAATGAGCCAATCACTGCCCTCATTTACTCTACAGAGGACAGGAAAACTCAAACGGTTTAAAAACCACACATGTGACTCAGCCCAGGGTGAAAGGCTACTCCTTATTTCCTGGGTCTGCACACAAAGATCTGAAATTTCAAGCAGGGAGAATCAGGCTGGGTGTTTCCTTGTTTGCTTATAGAATTATTTGCTGTGCATTTCCTGTTTGTGGTCCACTCTGCTCCCTACGCTGTCCTTCCGAGGGTGAGTTCTCCTTGAGATCACATTTGGCTGCAGAACCCAGCCATGCAGGCACTCCCCGTGTGGCAGGAGGAACTGTAATGGTGAGTGGATGACAGGTATTAACTGTCATTTCTGGCAAAAGAGAGACCTGTAGGACTATCTGTGTGTGTCCCCTTAAAAAACAATCTCTGTACAGTTAGCTTATATGAACTTATCTGGGGACTGGCTGAGGCCAAGGAAATGGGTCTCCTCTTACAAACTGGTCCTGCCTGGGCTGGACTGAATGGGTGTGTCCCCTCCGACCTTCTCAGGTTTGACTCCTGCCACGTCTGCAGCCACTTTCATGAATGCTACCAAAAGCTGCACAGCCCACCTCCCAAGGGCCTTCACCTCAACCCACTGGCACTTCTTTTTCCAATTCAGGAACCCTGGGCTTCATTTATTTCCTGATCTTAGTCCTATCTTCTAGACTTCTACTTATACTCTAGAACTAATACAGTTCACCAGTCCTGTTATCACTAACAGAGGCTATTTGATTCAATTAAGAAAAAAGAAAGACAAACAAAGAGCTCCTGTAATGACTGGGTTAACAAATACTTCTCCCTTCACAGTGGACAAATGTGACCTTGCATTAACTTCATAGCTCCGATCCTTTGAAACCAGATGAAGATGTAATGCCACCTATGTGATGGGGCAACACCGCTTATACTAAAAATGCCTCCTGCCACCTTCATATTGGTAAACTGCATCCAATTTGCTGGGAGGACTGTAAATGAACTGTAAACACCTTGTAGGAGGCTATCACTTTGTACTTTCCCGAGTGTGGTGTCTCTTGTAGCTGAGCAAGTGACCCTGGACACTATGCCTATGAGGCAGAGAGATAATGGCTCCTATGGAGCAAGGGGCTTCTAAGTCGAAGTGGATATACCCGCCCCGTGTGGATTTCATCCCCTCACACCTTAGCAGTATACAGCGAGGACTCCTCCCCATGAAGAGGAATGCCTGACACCACTATGCTGGCAAGACAGATGTGTTGGATAAACACATCCAATGTCCTTCTGTGTAGACTGGTGCCAAGGAGCCTAGGGTAGTCTTGTGAGACTAAATATCGAGCTGAGCTCAAGAAGACCCCTTAGAGGACACTGTAGCTGGCTTCATTCTCCCAAGTACTGCTAAAATCTGAAGTCCTCCCCATTGTTCTACTATTGTTCCGTGTGCTGACAGCTACTGTTCTATGGACTGCCATCTGTATTTTTCTATGGACTTCCAGAAACATACAAACTATCTGGAACATTAGAAATAAGAATGCTCACTACTATTTGTAAAATTCCCATCGATCTTTGCTTCTCTTTTTAAGTTTGGTGCAGGTCTTGTATGAATTGGCATAGTGCTTTGGTAGTACCTTCCAAACTGAGTCATGATCCCAGGGGGGAAGTAGGCGGTGTAGCAGCCCCCGGAGTACTGCTCCTCACACCAGTTCTTCTCTTCATAATGCACCGGCTGCAGTTTAGTGAGGAGAAAATTCCAAAGGGAAAACAAAGCTGAAATACTACCAGTCAACAATAAAGGCTCTGGTGTTTTTTACTCCACAAAAAGTTTACATAAAAAAAAAAGAAGACCCTGTATATCTAACTCATTTAAGGAGAAACATGATAGTACCAAGTAATGGCCTTTTATGAGGTACCAAAGTGGCAAACCATGTATACTTTGATCTTCCCAACCTCTTGAGTAGGAAAGACACGAAATATTCCAATATCCAAGAGAGAGGTCATCCCCATGCAGATTCTGAAGTCCTTAGAGCTAAGTCTACAGGAAACCCCATCAATAATCAGCTTGTGAGAAGGTCTGCTCAAATCTCTGGAGTCTTTAAAACAACAGACTACTTCCCCATCTACCCAGGTGTTACTGCTGAGAGAAGGGTGGAAGGGAGGAGGTAGAAGACAAGCCCGCTGTCTAAGAAAGGCTTTTTCCCAACCCCCTTCTCCAAGCTGGAAAAGTGAATGATGGGAATCCTGCTAAAAAAAGGACAATTGAGATAAAACACATTGCCTAGGGGACATGAGGGAACCTTCTCTGGTTTCTCAGACACATTCTGAAAGTTTATAATTTGAACAGTTCAGAGATAATTCCCTAAAAGAGCCCTCAGCTACTGGTAGGTTCTTCAGAAATAATTTCATTCTCCTAATTGCTTTCAGTGGTGCATTGAAAGCACTGAAATCCCTAAATGATCTTTGACTTGATTCTACACATGGAAAAATAAATTAGTATGACTTTGACTTGGGCAGAGAGTCTAGATTCAGTCTATCTTGTCAAGTACACAGTACTGTGCTTCACCAACAGATGATGATGTATCTGGGATTTTATTGTGCAACAGGCGGTTGACACTGACAGGAGGGCAGGACCTCTCTTCTAGGAAATGAACTTACTCATCCTTAACATAATACCTGCAGCTCCAGGCTCTGATCACAATTGTTGCCATGACCAAGTGAACATTTAAACAGCCCAAAGGAACTGTTGTATCAGAAATTCCATGCACCTGACACCAGCTTGTCCTGGCTTTTTGTGATTGCTGAAGTTAATCTTCCAAGTTAAGCATATCCCTTTATACTCTCTTCATAAGACTGTCAGAAAACTAGAATCTACTTTGCTTTACCACTTAAGAGCAAACAGAGCAGAACCTGCTAGGGATTAAAGCTGGGGGTTTCTTACTTGTAAAGCTTCTTGGGATCCCAGCACTTTGGCAAACAGCTCACAGATTTTTCTCTTCCTATTAAAAAAAAAAAAAAAGTCAAAAAATGTTAGGGAAGTAATAACTGATGGATAGAGAATAAACAAAATACTTTTTTATTCCAGGGCCTTTGAGTTCCAGGGCCTTTGCCAATGAGCTAGATTTATTACAGAAAAATTAATATCAATGGCCTTCTCTAACTGTACAAGGCGAACAGTTCAATGAATCTCTGCCCTCAAATTAGCTTTCTATGTCTCAATACAGTCATTTGACTTGAAGATTCAACAGAATTTTCCTTCTTTTTCACATTTTTGCCTTTTCCACTACCTAATATATCTATTTGAGATAAAAATGGGGAAAATAAAATTATATTATATTTAGTCAATCTTAGGATTTGATTTTATAACACTTTTCTGGAATATGTAGAATTTTAGAATGATCCCTCTTATATGTCTATAGTACATATGACAGTGAATGGCTTTTAACTATCCTATACTTGTGTTTTAAATATCTACAAACATATAAAACTCATTTAATCTTATAAGCACAATATAGGATATGCTATACCAGGAGAGGCTTACAAAAGTCATTTCAGTCTAGTAATCTGTCACCTGACAAAATGATCTCTGGGCCACAGTACTCCAAGGGGAACCTGGGGGGTGGCATAATATGCTACACGATGCTACTTCAAACACAGTCTTTGGGGCTAGCACCAAACACGACATCTATTATATCTGAAAAATCAGTAGCTGTATTATCTAAACTCTTCTGGAAGCAAGATATATTCAAGTGATAAACACTCAACTACTCTTGGTGAAATTTAACAAAAAGGTTTAATTTACTAAAATCACACATTTTAGAAATTAATGGTTCTATTTCAGGATTTATTTGAATAGGTTCACACTGATTCAGTTATATACTTTTCATATTTACCGTTTTTAGTCTTTATATGGTTTAAACATTTGAAAATGCTCCAAAATATTTGTTAAAGGCTAACAAGCAACTGGAAAAATATCTGTTAAAAAATGTGGCAACAGGTTTAATTCAAGTCTGTAAGACAAGCTTAAGCTGAAGGGAAAAATGGCCAAAAATATGCAGGGGAGAGGGGTGGCGGGGGGGTCAAGCTTATTGGAAATAAAAGAAACAGAGATTTAAAAATATACAAATTTATGTTGCTAATTACATTAGAAGATAATTTTTAAAACATGCCCCCAATTTCTCTGAATAATGTAGGACAAAATGTAACTTTATAAATTGATCTGACTCCTCACACTTACACCATTTATGTAACTCCCAGAACTTCCACCTCATGGGTATAGAGTATTAAGTCAGAAGGAGGTGGAATTATAAATGGTGGCTTATTGCCACCATTTTCCCATGAAAAGTTTTAAGGGCGAGACAAATGCCACTCCTCAGATGATGTCACACAACATTAGGCAGATATTTAAATTCCAGGACAGTTAGGAAAAGTTTGGTTTCCTTCAAGGAGCCGTACTACTACACATCAAAAATCAGAAAGGAAAGGAAGAATGGGAAGAAGACTCAGTTCTACTGTCTACCTGTCTGTCTGTCTCTGTCTAATCTGAGCCCCTCCTCTCAGAGATGAGGAAGCTGAGGCTCAGTGAGCTACAGAGACTTTGCATGGCTCAGCTAACTAATAGCAGGGCGAGGCTCTCCTCTTTTGAGCATCCTCCTGTTGTACGTGCTCACTAAATATTTGTTAAATCAATATCCATCCTCAGCCTAGAAAGGTACCCTCTTTTCTAGTCTATAAAGTGATTACTGATTCTTACCTACTTCACAAGGGTGTTATGAGCAATAATTCTGACATTTTGAGTCAATCGGAAAATAAAAGTATTGACAATCATTCTAAAAAGCTTAGTGAAGTTTATTTTCAGGATACATAATAAAATCTTTATTAAAGCAGAGTGAAACCTAAAATACAATCAGCCTACATTGTAAGTTCATTTTTGTCATTTATGAATGATAAAACCAGTTATAATAAATATAAGTCATGTCTTACTACATTTCCTATTATTAGATGAGCCTAGGATGAGTTCACACAAACACATCAGGAAATTATCCTTCCCTTCCCTTCCTTCCATTAAAATAAAAAAATTTTGGAAAAGATATATAAGGCAAGGATGTTGGAGCAATGCACTAATTGATTAGTTTGGCTCAAAAAATAATAGAACTTATTTTAAATGATGACCAAAAGAGGTCACTGTGTAAATCATCTTGTAGTTGAATTTATACACTGGTTTCTAAATCTGACTGCTTATCATAATTACCAGAAAAACTTGCTAAAAAAGACAAATACTCAGGCACCACCTTGGATCTACTGAATCATAATCTACAGGCCTCAGAAAAATATATTTTCCAAGCACCCTTTGGGAGATTTTGCTGTAGTCAGTTCTGGGAACCACTGCGCTCGTCAATGACATATTCAATAAGGGTATGCCTTACAAGAACTTTTAAGAAGTTCAGCTACCATGTGGAATCATAACCAAATGTCTACCTCCAGGCTGGTATTTATTTTACTATTAATAAGGAAGGAAAGCAGGAAATCCAAAAGAAAATGTCAAGCTTAGTGTGGTGTAATGAAAAAAAGTATGCGTTGATATGCTCCTTCTGACTTTGTCACAAGCTAACTCCTACGGTTTGAATGCATGTGTCCCTCCAAAATTTATATGTTGGATCTTAACCCTCAAGGTGATGATGGTTTTAAGATAGGGCCTTTTGGGAAGTGGTTAAATTATGTGGGCTTGGCCCTCATGAACGGGATAAGTGCCCTTATAAAAGGGCTTGGAGAACTAGCCTTTTTGATCTTTTGCCTTCTGCCACTTGAGGACATAGCATTCATCTCTTTTTGCCTTTCCCCCTTCCACCTTTTCTGCCATGTGAGGACGCTGCAATAAAATGCCATCTATGGAACAGGCCCTCACCAGACACTGAATCTGCTGGTGCCATGATCTTGGACTTCTCAGGCTCTAGAACTGTGAGCAATAAACTTCTATTCTTTATAACTACCCAGTCTCAGGAATTTTGTTATAGCAGCATGAACGAACTAAGTCACTAACTATGGATCTTTGAACAAATCATTCCCTGTCACTGGACCCTAATAGTTCCCTTCCTGATATCAAAACTCATGGTTGCTCAAATAAATCTGGTGTGTACATGTGGGGAACTTGTTCTGCAGCCTTTTCCTGCCTTCTAAAGTCATCAAATTAAATCCTAAAGCAAAGGCTGCTAATGGGTTGGCTGTTTAATTTTTGAATTAAATTAAATGTGTAATTTTGAATTAAATGTGTGTACTGGACCTCTTCAAAAGCTAGCAAAGAATTTAGAGCTACCCTAAAGGGAAGCCTGGAAATTCCTAGAGGCATTCCCCCAACAGCCTAATGACTCTGATGTTGATAGGCTTACCCTTTCAGGTAGGGTTTTTTTGAACAAAGGAAGCCATGACAAAACAGAACAGAAAGAGAGAAAGAAAGAGAAAAAAGCCACTTTCCTAAAACAACTGCTTTGTACTAGGAAGCTCTTAGGGGAAGGGAACATCAGAGCTGTGTCCCAGATAACCGGTGGTAAATACTTCCACGTCCACAAGTTGCTACAGATTAAAACACATACACATGGATTTGCTTTTCAGTTAAAGTCCATGTCAGAGAACGCTGGAAAGGGATAATGGCCTTGCAAAGGGATTGAGACTCGGCCTCTACAGCTTTTTTCATAGCTAACATTTTCTATATAATTTTTCTCCATCCATCTTACAGGGAAATCCTACCTCTCAACCACTGTAAAATAAACACAGATATGTCAAATTAAATCAATATATGCCTATGGGCAAGAACTGGGTTGAGGGGGCTGTGGCAAAATATGAAAAGGTTGATTTGTTGCGATTTTGAGAATATTTGTAAAGTATTGTGTTTTCCTGATGCTATTCTACTGTTGTTAGGGCAAAAAACACAATATAAAGCTAACTTTTTATCTCTTTTTCAAATATTAACTCTTACCTTATTTCTTTATGGAGCTTAGCAAATTGTTCAGCTTTTCTCGCAAGGATGAAGCTAGAAAGAGAGAGATTACATGTGAATGATTAGGTTACAGCCCTTTATCTTAAGAGTTACCCCTTCTTTTTGAAGTGCTCTTACTTCCACCTACTCAGCATTAATGACCTTTCCTGGACCCTCCGCCTCTATTAGAGTAAATGCCATGTTGTTTTCAGTCTGCCTCTGTGTCCAAAATCCCTGCTAGGCTGTGGGCTCCTAAATGACAGGTCACCTCCCACTCAATATTTTACTCCTGAAGTTTAACACAGCTTTTGGGATTCAGCAGGAAATCAAATGTCGGATGAATTAATATTGCATAAAAAGATTATCCTGGTAATGACTGCTGCCTTCTGCCAAATACTGGATAAAAGCTGAAAACCCAAATATATGTCTGTAGTAGATGCCATAGTGGGCCCCTCCAGATTCCCCTTCAAGACCAGGCACTTGGTCCCCTTAGCTCGCAGGTGAAACCTACCCCAGCAATTGCACTTTGCAGCACAGAACTGCCTTGCTCAAGGTCCCGCCCCTCTCCAGAGCAACCAGTACCCAATGACTGGCTCTGGGTCCACTTCCTTGGCTCAGTTCAGGACAACTCTGAAGGGTTATCCCAGCTCCAGAGCTTCCCAGGGGATGGTTGAGGCCTTTGCTGGGACAACACTGGAGCCCAACTTCTCCCTCTGCCTGATGCTGATTCCTTGCCTTCTCCCACAGGTAGCAATCCCCAGAGCACTTCCCAGTAAACCTCCAGGATCCAAGTCTCCATCTCCAAGTTGGCTTCCTGGGAAACTGACCTAATGTGGTCCCCAAGTAAAGTAACTCAGGAAAACTCAGTTATAATCTGCCTGCTTCCCTTTAACCAAACAGATTCTATTTACTATACTGATATTACTAATGGCACATATATTTTAAAGAATTGAACTGCGACATAAAGTCCTTAGTTATACTATTATTAGAAAGCTTTCAAAAATCCAAATGAGACAATGAAATTATTTTCCCATTAAAAAAAGTTTTAAAATTGTATTTCTTTTCTTCTAGACCAAAAAGACAAGTAGATCAGGGCTGAAAATGCAAGGGCTGAAAACAGATATTTCTTCCTCTCCCTACTCCCCAATTAAACTGTTCCTCATTTGGCAATTCTTTTAAAGCTATTATTTTAAATCATTCTGGGAAGGAAAGATAAAAAATGTGTTAATCCAGAGAATAGTATTTCAGAGAAAGCTGTGGATTATTTAAGATACTTGAACTATTGAACTTTACGGGCTATAGTCATAATTTTGTATGATTTAACACCTTAGCATATGGCTTGATATTAATGATTTTACTTAAATTTTAGGTTTATGCAAGAATCAATAAGATTAGACTTATGAAGTATTTCTAAAAAGTCAATATCTGATGAAAAATTAAACAATTTATCTGAAAACCTTCTTAGTCAACTCATCTTAAATCCTTTTTATGGTGCCTTTCCCAAAGGGCAGTTAGTGTTGGCTATGTCTGTCAAACCATGTCATGAATGAAATAACCCCTTTGATCTAATTCTAACTATGGGCAAATATCCTTTAACTTTCCTTGGTGTTTTATTGAGGAAATTAAACATGCTGACTTTGTGTTGGGGACATTTCACAGTTCTAAAGTACAAGGTCCTTACCAGTTTCCAAAAGGTGCTGATTATTACAAACATAGTGCTGCACAATTAATTACTAAGACCAAAGTGCAAGGTAGAGGCAATATAACTTCAAGGCTTTCCTCATAAGGTGCTAAGAGCAGGGTGAAGGATAATGTCCAGATAGAATATTATCAAAAAGTCAGAGAATAACAAATGCTGGCAAGGATGCAGAGAAAGGGGAACCCTCCTACACTGTTGGTGGGACTGTAAATTGTTGCAGCCTTTATGGAAAACAGTATGGAGGTTCCTCAAACAGCTACAGATAGAACTGCCGTGTGATCCAGCAATTCGACTGCTGGCTGTATACCCAAAGGAATGGAAATCATCATGTTGAAGGGATACCTGCACCCCCGTTTATTGCAGCTCTATTTACAATAGCCAAGAGTTGGAACCAACCTAAATGTCATCAGGTGACAAGATAAGGAAAATGTAGTATATATACACAATGGAATATTACTCTGCCATACAAAAGAATGAAATACTGCCATTCGCAGCAACATGGATGAATTTAGAGAAAATCATGTTAAGTGAAATATGCCAGGCACAGAAAGAGAATTACTGCAGGTCTTCACTTATAAGTGGGAGCTAAAACAATAAAAAAATCAAAAGAAAGAAAGAAAGATACAACAATCACAATACATTGAACTTTCAAAAGGAGAGAACAGGAGGCAAGTGGTAAGGGAGGAATTGGTAAAGGGCTATGATAAATGATTACGTTGTATAATGTTGAATATACTAATCATCCTGATTTGAGTATCACGCATTGCACACAGGTATTGATATTCAACTCTACCCCACAGATATGTACAATCGACTATGTTACAAAAAAAGAAAAAAACCAGACTAGAATATCACCTGCTAGGAACTGCCTAAATAACCCCATTAACACCTGAAAGGGTCCTCCCTTAGATGTGCTCGTTAAGAAAGCCAAAGAAAGCCCGGAAATGTAGATGTCATATATCTAATTCCCAGAGCAAGAAGATTATCAATGTTCTTCCACCCATAGTTGGATTGGTCTTAACTGACATTCTCCTGAAACGTGTACCCCAACCTCCTGCTTTTCTCTGGCATATAGAGGGTGATGTCAAACTGCCAAAATAACCTGTATCCTTTCTTGCCCAGTGAGGTTAGAGACAATGAGGATACGTTGTTCTGATGGTCATCATGTTGTAAGCACCTGCCCTTCACAGGGAGGCTAGTGCTACTTCTTATATTTTAGAGTCAGAGAAATGGTTACACAATGTCTTGTTAGTACCACGATAGCACAACCTGCTTTCTAAGTCCCTTGGGACATGGGTCTGCCCCTTTTGTCTTTGTAATTTTCCTTCAATGACATGACGTGCATGAGCTCACCTCTCCCTTCAAGCAAGAGATATGCATTTCCCAGGAGTGAAGGGGAAACCACCTGTCTCTAAAATTAGTCACTTGACTGCTAATGAAGGCACATTCTTTTGTTAAGGTATGTTGGAATAAACAGCTTTTTATCTGTATAGTTTCCAAGAAGGGCCAAAAGGCAGGCAATGGGAGGCTGTGGCACTTCTTAACAATTACTTTGTGGAAGCCCTGCTTTCTTCTCTGGACCCCTAGTCCCCTGAAGGGCAGCTGTGCGCACAGATGGGAGGAGAGGGGAAGGGCTCTCCTCTTCCGTACACAGAACCACGGCCCAGACCACCCAGCCCTTCTGAGGGTAAGTGAAGCACCGCTAGTGAAGGGTAACTGCAGAGCGACGCACTGGGAAAAGTGCCATGCCATTCACTCAAGGCCTGGCTTGACTCCAAACTGTGCCTCCTCATTGGTCAGCCATCTTATATCTCAGGGTAACAATGACATTTGCTATGTAGCAAATGTTTGGAATGGAGAAAAGGATCAACCCCAGAAACCCTGAGTCTGTAAGGTTTTATAGGATAAAATAGTTCATTCTCATTCCAGAATGTTTGTGGCCATTCTGCCTCTAGGCAGGCTTGGCTACCATGTGGCCGATCTAGCTGCTTTTTTCACTCTGTCCTCAACATGTAAGTTTTATGGGAGAAAGAAACATTGGCACAAATTAAAAGTGCTGTCAATTTTAGTAAAGTTTCTCAATGTTCTTGTGCCACACACAAAACATTACTATAATATTTTAATACACAGAAACATAATATAGTTTCCTAGCGTTATTTATCATTGCTTGAGCTCAATTCCAGAACAATAGACTTTGCCAGCATCCACATCACTACACAAACACAATTTGGAAAATGCAGAACGCCCTGCTCTGACTTACCCCATGATGGCGGGCACCGATCCATCTGGCTTGGTGTCATCCAAGGTTATTGAAATTGGAGCTTCTTCATCTTCAATGATCATGCAGCCACAGTAATCTTAACCAGAAGAAAACAAACAGGAGACTGAGACTAACCTCTTCATACAGACAGACACACACACTCTAAATGTAAAACATTTGCTAAGAGGAAGGCAAAATTTAAGCTATTGGTCTTTGCCCCCACTCCAGAAGCTATTTCCTGTTCTATACATACACTGACTATAGAAGGATTTCTATTCACCCACAGACATGGAAAATGACCTATCTCTATCACCTTTACATAAAGGGCTTATGACCGATGTATGGCAAAAATGGTAAGACGCCCTGGATCCCAGAATATGTGGAGAAAGAGAAGGAATGTGTTGGAGGGAATCACCCCATCAACCCATGGAAGAGGTGGCAGGAAGGAATCCTGCAAGTATAAGGAGAAGGTTTATCCACAGCAGCCACCACATCCAGAGAGCCTACTAAATCCCAGACCCTGCCTCAGTTAAGCCTCAAACCCCCCCCTAAAGGTGGGTATTACTGTCACTATTCTTCACTTAGAAACAAATGCTAGTAAGCCTAGGAATGTCTGACTTCCAAGTGGCACTCTTTCCACAGGGCCCCTTGGCCTCACTCCGCTCATGAAGAATAAGTAGCAGAACAAATGCCAGAAGCCAAGGCAATGGTGACCCTGCAACTGGTGTGATCTCTTTCTTCCCTCTCATTGCCAACAAGTGCTGTTGGAGTCACTTTTTATTCCCAGGAGCTATAATAAATTGAACAGAGTAAGATTCTGATCTTTTCTCTACCAATTTAAAAAACTTATCATTTTTCCGTTTAGTACCTTCTGTTCAAAATTCCTGAAAAAATGTGGTTTCTTCACTTACTACAGTTTAAACAAGAATAAGAGCAGCCTACCCTTCTTCTTCCAGAAGGCCTCCTTGTAATACATCATGCACTTAATGACAGACCCCATAGGAAGACGCTGAATTAACTGGTTTCTCTCCACAGGAAGCTCTGGTCTGAAGTGGATTTTGGCAGTCAAGGTCGGGGGAATGGCACTAATTACGTATCTGCACTAAAATACACATACACAAAACATCACCTCAAATGTGAGCTGCAGTCTTTGCAAAGGGCGTAAAACATCATCTTTAGCATTTCAATTGACATTGAGCAGTAACAACATACAAAATGAGGTAACAAAACAGAACAAGGTAGGTCAACCTAGGCTGGTAATTTGGAAAACTGAGACAGAAACACGTCAGCATTAATTATACCACTGCTTGGATTATATTTGGTTAGAAGCTGCAGAAGACACAAGACTATGCACTATATGCTCCTTTGACTATGAGTTACCTCATAGAGTTCATGATTCAATGTCTCTATGATGACGTTGTCACCTGACTGGTCAACACAGGTAACAGGATGCTTCAGCTTCACTCGATCCCCAAGGAGGTCCATTATCCGCTCGCTCACTTGACCAGATCCGCCTACAAACTTCCGTTCCTACAGGAGGAGGTATGCAGGAAAGTAAATGTTATAAAAGCCTGAGGAAGGAAAATTTTATTTGCCACTCGTTAGAAAACCTTCAGAAAGTCACAGACCAGACCTCCACCCTCTGCACACTTAACTGTTGGAAGAACTGATTAGGACAGAGGCAGAGTCTGCCATGACACCTCAATTATCATTCCTTGCACAGCTTCCAGAAATGAAAAAAACACAGAACCAGAAGAAATGTTCTATGCCAGTGCTTCCCTGTCCAAATGGGAATATCGGCAAGTCTGTGGGCTTCAAATGTCCAAGAGTGCAGTGCCCGGAGGGAGCCCCAGGAAGGGGAGGGCACTGCACTTGCCCCAGAGGAAGCGGTGTCCCATTTCCCTTGGCTTCTCGCAGTCCCAGCTTGGGGCTGTCCAGGCAGGTAAGGATGCAGATGGTGCCATATTATAGACAACATTACTCTAAGAGAATAGGCTCAGGGTGCTCTTAGGGATAGCCGTGCCCTACCAGTCATCACCAAATAATGTCCTAGGAATCTGAATCTCAGATCTTGAGTAATTTTTTGAAAAATATCCAAAAGTTTGGAGGCAGAGGGGTGATGGCGAAGCACCTCCTTGTTCCTTTAGACACCAATAAACAGTTCTCCTGAACATCCCTATAAAATCAGTTCTCTGCCCACTGCCATCTGCTGCGCGTACCATGGAAATGGTTCCAGCTTAATCTCAGAAGGTAAGCCCTTAGCACAATGCATTTGGTAAGAACCAGGGGAATCTTTTTAGCCTGTTGTACAAGAATCTTTGAATGGTTAGAAATAGACAGTAGACTGAGCCACAGCCCAACATTTGACAATTAGGTACCTCAATCACACTCCTCAAGACAACCGTGCATGAGCAGCCCTGCAGTGATTTTTGCGCTTTTATAACTGGCTACTGGTTTACTGACACCACCAAAGTTCTTTATAAAAATATACCCATAGTGTTTCAGATCTAAATTCATGATTTGTCCTTGCTCAAGAAACTGGTATCACTGAATTTATAATCTGACCTATGTTTTCCAAGAGTTAATTTGAATTTTAGTGTAGTAGAAAAACCATGACCTATTTCCATCTTGTTCACTGTCCATTCCTCCATGTCTAGTATTTGTTGAATTAAATTATTACAGAATAAACCTAAGTTTTTTCTAAATATATTATGATAATGGCTTGAGATTCATAATCTGAACTGTACCTTCTAAGTAAGAGGCCACACAAGGTTTGGCTAGAAGCATCCTAGCTCCTCTGAATGAAAGACACAAATATCATACATGAGTCAAGATACCTCAGAAAGTAAAATATGGGTTAAAAGGGATAATGTAGAATTTCTGCCAGTAAGTAAAGGCACATAAAAATTGCAACTGTCTTGTGTTTGCCAAAGCTAAGAGTCAAATGGGCAATAACTCTTTGTGTCAGAGGAACAACTTGGGGACTTCTGATGGTTTCCTAAGGAGAAGAAAAATTCACATAGACTCTACATCTTGCACTATGCACTCAGAATTCTGGGAATCAGAGAATAGAGCATAAGTTAGAAGTAAACTGCTGCTAAGTAAACCTCATCCCATCCAGGCATAACATTCCTAGACAAGAGATACCCATTCTCTTTGGATAAGGCAGAGTCTTGAAACAAAGAATCTCAGAGTCTGGGGAATCAGAGAATTAGGATTCTGGTTTTGCCACCAGTTTGCTGTGTGTCCAGACACTGAACCAAATGAGTTCATTCATTATTTACGGAAATAGTATAGAAGCCAGGGAAATGCAACTGGGCAGCAAAAGTCTAGAATCTAGAATACAGAATTTACTATGGAAAGAGTGGCCATAAATCACTTGTGTGAATTAGAAGGAAGAACAGTCACTTCCCATTCCGTAACAGTCAACATGAAAGAGTAACTCTGAGAAATCGATAGGACAAAAGCCTTATGTCTTTAACAGAGATGACTTTAAGTAAGATAATTTTACAAGTACTAGAATTTGGGGGAAATTAATTTACTTTAGTAATTTAGCTTCTCCTACATAAATAGCCTATTTTTTCCTACCTCCAAAAGGAAGGAGTTTAATTCCCCAAACCAAATTAACTCAAAATGAAATATTCTTTTACTGTGAACTTATTTTCAGGAATAAAAAAAGAAAATGAGAAATTTTTTTCAGAAAAGTTTTTGAGATTATTTCACGCTGCTAATTGTTTATGTTTTGAAATGTTAATTTTTTTAAGACACTACTCTGGGCAAGGGCAAAAATCACAAACGAAGTTAGTTTCAGAACGAACACACCATACCTGGCCCCCATTGGTGACTGAGAATATCCGCATGGTGCCCCCACATTGCTTCACGTACCACAAGAACCACAGGGCAGACACCTCATGGGGCTCAGAGGTCACATTGATATTGATGAAGAGAGAGGCAAATTGCCTAGCAGTCCTGTTTACAGAACAAGTGTAGAAGTCAGGCGACCATATATACATGAGTCAGGGGATCTCATGTTTTTAAAACACAATGTAGTATGTTAGAAAGTATTTCTATTACTTTTGAAAAAAACCTCATGGGCTCAATTTTTGAAAGAACGCATTTTTTAACTATTGGGAGAAATAAAGTTTTCTCCTGCTTTTAAGAAATTATGGGTTAGCTCCAAATATGCTAATCCTGGTTCTGTCCAAAGGGTCACTATGCTTGTCCGGGATGATTAGGGGTATTTGTTCTCAACTGTTTTAACAACCCTCCTCTCCTCTCTGCTACCACTGTCTCTGCCCTGGTCCAGGCTACCAGTGTCCCTCCAGGGGGGGGACATCCCCTCATGTATCCCTCTCTGTGCTACAGCCAATGAGGTCTTTTATTTTATTTATTTATTTTTTTCCTTTTTGTCTTTTTTCGTGACCGGCAACGGATCGCAACCCGCAGTGTCGCACCCGTACCGGACCGGGACCGGCTACGGGATTGCAACCCTCGGTGTTGCTCCCGCACCTCGCTCAGCCAGTGAGTGGCCGGT